CCCACCTGGCAACCGCTGTGCCTGTGAACCTGCTCCCGTCCGCTGTGGGACTGGCTGTGACCGCCGTGGAGGACCAGGTGCACAAGGCCCACCCTGAGGAGCAGGACCCACTTCCGCGGGCGCTGGGGCCCTCCGAGTCCACCCCTTGAGTGTGCTGCTTGTGCAGGGGGTGGGTGGTGCTTTGGGGAGTCAAGCTGTCGGGCAGATGTGCTGGTTCTGGCGCCTCCCGGGAGGTGCTGGCCACGGTCAGCCACCGCCCATGTTCTGCCTGGGGCCACCCGGCAGGAGGTACAAAGCGGTCTGCAGAAGCCTGCTCCTCGTGATGGGCTTGCAGGTGCCCAGGTGAAGGGCCAAAGCTGCTGCTTCTAGTGCAGGACCTGCTCAGTGAGAGAGAGGTATGGGGCTCTCGGAGGCCAGATGCTGCTTGTTTGAGAGATTCTAAAGAAGTGCGAAGCGTGAGCCAAGACGGGCTACTTATTTGAAAAAGCCACAGCTGGGTGTGGGCTCGCCACTTGGGTGGGGGAGGCCTCAGAGAATCTGGGGGCGGGGCGAACAGGTGGAGGGAGACTCCCAGAGGGCGCACACCTGTGTGTGCAGGGGGCTGGGGCGGGCCCACCGAAGGAGCCATGGAGCACTTCATCCGGCAGAAAGCTGCACACCAGCTCTGGCCCTGACGCGGACACTTGGGTCGCTCCCGTGTGTCCCAGTGCCCTTCAAGCTGCTGCCTCCAGGCTGGAGCTCAGAGGCAGAGACTCAGAGTAAGTCTGTGCACCAGACCTTTAAAAGGAGCAGCCTGGGACTCCAGAAGGCCTCTCTCTCCCACAGCCTGGCTCCCTGCTGGTTTTTACAGTCAGGACTTATGGGGACTTCTCTTGCTGGCACTGGAACCCTGGGCCGGGGGGCCTGGTGTGGGGCTGGGACCCCACTTTCCACGGGGCGGCGGGGGGGGGACCTCCCAGTTTTTATCTGCCGCACATGGGTGTGGGCCCAGCCCTCTGCATCTCCACGCCTCCTACCAGTCTCCCTGTGGCTTCTTCAGATCCCTAGATGGAAAACCCCCACTCAGCTCGATTTTAGGGGGTCCCGAATGCCGGTTGTCCCGCAGTTTCCTTGCAGTTCTGATGTGGTTCTGGGAGCAGGCGGGTCCCACACTCACCTCCACAGCCATCTTGCCCCTAGAGGCTGTGCCGTTTTTAAGTCTCATTTAATCTCGAGTTCTATTCCATCTTTTCTTTCTTTTTTCTTTTTTTTTTTAATTTTTCATCGCCATTCTGTATTGGTTTCAGGTGTGCAGCATAGCGGTTAGACAAACATGTAGCATCCCATCTTTTTTTTTTTTTCCAACAAATTAGAAAAATCTGGGGAGATGTTAGCCGACGACATCCCCACCAGGCCATTCGGCATGGACCCCCCCACACACACATCTCTGCATTCTCTGCGCCCTGGTGGCTGAATCCACGGGCCGCTCACACCCCTGTTCGATCCCCCCCGGGAGACTGGGGGTGGCTTCTCTCCGAGGGTGGGTTGCAGCTCCAGGGCAACACTTGGTGGTGCTCACGGGCCTCCCTACCCGGTGACTGATCCTGGCCTTGGAAAACACGTCCAGGGATTTTCGTCACAAATGACCCTGAATCTTGAGCTGGGACAGATATATCTTATCAGGCCTCCATGTGGGTGAGGCAATATCTGTCTATTCCTACTTCTCTGAGTGCTTTTTAAAAAGACATTAGGATGCATATGGAAATTTTTGAAATGCCTTTTTAGCATAAAATGAAGATGATCTTTTTGTTCCCCTTTGAATTATATTATTTTCTTAGATTTTCTCAGATTGAATTGTTCTCGCACTGCACATAATAACCCATTTGTCGTGATGTATGGGGAACGGCACTGGATTTGTTCACTCACACGACATTTTATTTAGAAGTTCTACGTCTACGCGCTCGAGTTTATTGTTATTGTCACTATTAGCATCAGTAGGCCCTGTCCGAAGTCTGACAGCACTGCCGTCCGCTGGGGTGAGCGTCGGGGGCGGGCTCTTCTCCTACCGAGAACCCCACACATTTCCTTCCCGTCCTGGCCCCGAGCTGCCTGGCCAGAGCGGATCCTCTGCCGTCGGCCCGGGTGGGTCTCTCGGAGCCGTGTTTTCCTTCCCGTCACGGCCCTTCCTCGGCCTCTCCAGGTTGGAGACATTGGTGGCAGGTAACCTCATGGCTCACCTGTCTCCACAGGAAAATATTGGGGGGGCTTCTACATTTTCTTGCTTAGTTTGAATGTTGCTGTAAGAATATCTGACACCTGCTGGCACTCTTTTCTTGGAAGAGTCTCCCTCCTCTCACCCGGCTGCCTCTCAGATGGAGGGAAACCGCGGACCCACGCTGGTGGCGTCCCTGGACACCGGGGTGGGTGTGGGTCTGAGTGTGAACAGAGATGGGAGGCCACCTGGATGGCAGTCGGAGCAGCTGGTGAGCCCCTAACTCAGATCCGTGGAGGCCGGGCTGCCATCCTTCACCGGCTGTGCCCCCTGCCGCTGCGGTTCCCACACCACCGCGCCAGGTGTGTTTTGTCTGCACCCGAGTTGCCACCAGGCTTGGCTCCCTCCCTCTCCACCTGGCGGAGCCGAGCCCCAGCTCCGTGCCAAGGCTCCGGGAAGCTCCCGCCTTCTTCGCGCTGCCCTCACACAGTGAGCAGGTTGGGCCCCGCAGTTCACCACGGAATTCTTTGTTTCCCTGCGTGTTTCTGCTGCTGGGGGCCTCGAGGGCCGGGTCCTGCGTTCCCCCCAAGGGCTTCACAAAGTCGAGTCAGCACGCAGGTGGGGTTTTGTCGGGAATCCGAGTATTTGTCTTTCCTTAGTTAACAGGGTGGAGTTTTCCCCACATCCCTGACTGTGAACTCAGGTCAAGGGCAGCGCTGGGCTCAGGCGTCCTTCAGGGAAAGGCCACTTGTGCACGAAGGGGCCTGGGCTCCCGTCCCCACAGACAGTCCCACCCGGCCCCAGAATCAGCACTGCCCACCGGTTTCAAATTTATTTCCACTGAGATGAAGTTCACAGAGCATAAAAGTTACCGCTTTAAGGTGACGCAGCCGTGGCACTCAGCGCCCTCACAGTGTTGTGCCTCTGCCTAGTTCCAGAACATCCCCATCCCCTAAAAGGAGCCCCCACACCCATGAAGCAGTCGCCCCCGACCCCCTCAAGCCCAAGTGATCTCCAGTCTGCATCGTCTGCATAGGTTCATCTGTTCTGGATGTTTTACCTAAGCCGATCAGGTAACATGTAGCCTTTCATGTCTGGCATTTTTCACTTAGCATGTTTCCAAGGTCCCCCCATGTTGTAGCCTGTGTTGGTGTTTTTTCTTTTAATGGATGAATCAGGTCCCACCCCACAGACCTCTCTTTTGTGTTCCCGGTCACCACTGCTGGACCCGAGGCTGTCCCCACCTTCGGGCGATCGTGAACATACCGTGCTGGACGTGCCTGTTTGATGTCCCGCTTCTGACCCAGCACTGGCCGCCGTCCCCTCCCCAGCTCCCCCTCTGGGTCGTAAACGTCACCCTGAACCTCACCCCGCGCTCACCCCAGGCCTTCTGCCCCCCTCCCCGACTTTGGACACAGTTACCACGGAGCCCTCACCAAGCTCCCGGGGAAGGACATGGGTCCTGCCGCCCGCGGGAATGCTTCCCGATCTCTCCGCACGTATTCCTGTGTCCACACACACACACACAGAACTGAAGAAAACGTGGTTTTTTCAGAATCACTCAGAAATTTTAATTAATCACAAAGTAGCAGAAGAGCTGCAGCACTCGAAGATGTTAGCAAAATGCAATTCTTGAAAATAAAATCTGCAATCAGGAAAGGTATTGAAATTTACCCCCAGAAACACAGACAGGGAAGTAAACAGCATAAATGTTGGGAGCCCAAACCGTACACAAGATTTCATTTTCAAAAATCCTACAGCTGCGTTTGGGAATTTCTAGCCGTGCAGGAAGAAACTTCGATGGAGCTCCTATTTTCAGTTTTGTCAACTGATAACAAAATTTCCCAGCATCTTTGATTAGCGAAACACTCCAAAGAATCATGCCGAGACAAAACTGATTCACTAATTTTGCACCGTAACAATATTTGTCAATAGAAGGTATTCTGAATGGAAGCAAAATGAGCATCTGCAAAAGTCTGGACTGAAATGTTTACACGTTTTAACACAAAAATAATAGAGTCAATAAGAAGCTCCATTTATCAGAACTGTTCTGGGCTCGCAGTCACCTCGCAACCGGAGGGAGGCCTGCTTCCGCAATTTAAAATATTATGGCCGACTGGGAAGGATCAATCAAAGGTGTCAATGGTTTCAAATTCATTAACCATCAAAACCACTCTGAGGAAGAGTGCAGGCAATTTTCTGAAAAATGAAATAGAACAATATGGAAAACCTTTGTTTTTCAGAAGCAGGCCAGCGCCGTGGGACTGAGTGGGCACGGCCCGGACACTGGCGGAGATGTAAGGGAGCCGCCGAGAACAATTATTCTTCCCACGCTGCTGCCCAGCATTCAGATGATTGATACGAGGGATGGAAAATCGTTTTTCCTTTGACGCACATGGAGTCGGGGGTTAGTATTTACGTTTCGAAAGCAGTGGTTGACTTCCGTCACTGCGGTTGGCCCCGGCGCTGCCCGCCGGGATGCGCTGCTCCTCCGGGCGGGGCCTGGACCACCGCGGAGGCGGGGGCACCCGGGGCCCCTGGACTCGGGTCTGAGGGTTGAGGCGTGGGCGTGGGGAGGGGAGGGGACTTTCTGAGGCCAGAGAGAGATGGGGACGCATGTGCGCGCCCCAGGCGGGCCTCCGGCGGCGTGTGCAGGGCCCCGTCCGGGGCTTCGCCCCCCTTCCCAGTGCGGCGTCTCGTTTCCACTGCCTCCCCGGTTCCGCCCCTGACTCGTTGATAGCGATTTGCGGTCAGCCGCGCAAGCCGCCCAGAGCGCTCCGCACTTCATTCTCTCAGAGCCCGGTGGCCCTGTGACCCATCTGTCCCCTTTCTGCAGTGTGTCCTGCAGGTCACCAGGGCTCCCTCCGTCCATGACTCGACGAGGGTGTGATGAGCGGGTGCTGTTCCGACTTCCCAGTGGAACCATAAGGCCCAGGGCCTGCCACTGTGGGCTGGTCAGTTCGCCTTCTTTCTCCTTCCAGCACGAAAACGGGAAAACAACTCACCTCGGGACAAGCGGGGGGGGGGGGCTCTCAGAGACGCACCTGCAGCTTCTGACCAGGCGTTGGCCACGCCCTCCCACAACTGCTTCCTCCGGGACCCACTTTTTGCTGCAGCAAATTATCTAAGAAACTCAAGAGACTCACTGCATGCAGCCCTTGCACTCGGGGAGCTTACAGCCACAGGAGGAATCACTTCTAGGCACCTGCATTACTGAAGAAATGTCCCCAGTGTATATGCTCCTTTGTTAGAACACAGCCAGGGCAGGGGGTGAGCTGGCCTGGGACCCAACCTCTGCTCTGCAGGGCGGGCCTTCCCAATGCCCCAGCCCCCCCCCCCGGGGGGCCCCCCCCCCCCAGAGCCCTGGCTTGGGAGGTGGCCTTTGGGACCACCGAAGGCATTGTCCTATTGTTGGCCTGTCCCACCAAGTTCAGTTTCCTTGGTAACCCTGTTCACAAGGCGTCATTGCCGGATGTACGTGTGGCTTACACTCTTCTCTGGCTCCGCCTCTGAACCAGAAGCTGTAGGTGGGAGCCTTCAACCCCTGCCTGTCACCCCAGCCAGAACAGCTGTGCCCGACAGTCACAGGCAGACAGAGTTTGTTGTGGTTTCTAAAGACAGAAACACGGAGGCAAACAAACAAAAAGGAAAACCACGCAGCCTGGACAAACTGCAGAGAGTGTTTCCCAGACGGCCAAGCTTGGCTAGAGAAGGCAAGACGAGCATGTCCACTGTGCCATCAGCTTGGGGACAGGTGAGTGACCCTCACCGGTGCCATTCCAAATCCAGGAGCAGCTTGGAGCGCAGGTGGTCACACCGGTAATGGTGGTGGCACCACCGAGACTCGTTGGGGGAGGAGGACGTTTTCGAAAATGGTGCTGGAGCCGACGGACACCCCCGTGGAGAAAACACCGTCCAGCGAGCGCCTCCCAGCATCCCGGGGACGTGACGGGCACGACGAAGAGCCCCGGGAGAACACAGCGGTTTTCCAGGGCGCGGAGGCAGGTGGCAGTTCCTTAACGAGGCCCTGACGAGTGCCCGCCGGGAAGGCACACCCCGAAACACGTCTGCCCGTCAGACGGCAAGGCGGCGGCGGGACAACTCCAGGCGTGGGCGAGCGGTTCTCTGTGCGAGCGTCTGGGACAGAGCAGTGGCCTGCAAACGGAAGAAGAGGAAAAGGACCCAGTGAACACGTGAGTGGCGGACGTGGACACTTCACAAAAGAAACTGCCTGGCGGCACGATAAACATGAACGTGTGCTCAGCAGGGAAGCACCAGCTAAAATCACCAAATAGTGTCCCTCAGAGGCTGGAATTCTCGAAAAAGAAGGAAAGACACCACGGGACGGTCCCCTGCTGGTGGGGGACGCGTTCAGAGCGCCCCCAACCGCGCCCACTTGGCCGCTCCCCCCTGGAGAGGTGCGCGCAGCCTTGCCCCCAACGGCCCCAGACTGGAAGCTGCAGACGCCCAACGAGAGCAGGTCGGGGCCGCGAATGGCAGCTTGTCAGGGAGGGACAACCACAAGGCAAATCTGAAAATGCTGACGACGGCAAAACCGATGAAACGTGCAGGCATTTCGTGACCAAGAGCAGTGAGACACAGTACAGATCGTGGGGTCCCCTCCATGGGACACACAAGACACCCCAAACCCATCTGTGTGGAGGGGGCTCAGGCGAGCAGCTACCTCTGGGGGTGAGGGAGGGGCCCAAGGGAGCCTCTGACAGAAGCGGCCCCGTGTTTAGGGGGGGGCAGCAGTCTCACACACACAGGCCACCACACACGCGGGGTATCAGCATCCTTCACTGCATACGGGGCTTGTGCTGCCATTAAAACGGGGGGGGGGGTTCCAAAGGAAGAGATGAGACTTCAGAAAAAGGTTCTAAAGGGACACGTGAGGTCCCCGCACGACCGGACGGGCAATCAGCGGGGAGGAGAGGGGTTGGGGACACCCGCGGGCGGTGCTTCCACGGACAGAAATGCGTCACCAACAAGTGGGTGCGGATCCAGCTCCGGGGCTGGGCTCGCAGCCGCAGGCACAGCCAGGACGCGCAGGCACGAGAGAGTCAAGTTTGGGAAGGCTCAGAGCTCACGGCCTGACAGAAAGTTAGGGAAGGCCCCCCGGTTCCGGGAGGGTCCTGAAAGTGTCCACCCTCAGGATGCGAGAACACGCAGGCCCCCCGGGGCCGCGGTGGGGAGAGGTAGATGCGGACGGTCCCGGGCAGTGGCTCCCTCCGCCTTCCCGCTTCCGCCACACGTTCACGGGGCTCCTCCTGCGGCCCCGGGTACGGAAGGCCTCGCTCGGGCCACTGAACTTCACAGCAAACTTCCTAAGCAGCCACGCAGGCCGGCGATGGTCCCTGTGTTCTGTCCATTTGTTCTGAATTAATTCCCTTCGTTGAAATGGAACCGAGACACAAAGGTGAAAAAAATGAAAAACCCAGCTAATGGATCGGGGAACATCACTCTCTCATACAAGCCTAGAGATGGGCCGGAAGGTCATTGCTAGCCATCATCACCCTGATAATTGAGCAGATGGTGATCGCCAGCTCCGGCAGCCGCTGCCCGCCGGCGACTCTGCAGCTAATTCACCTTCACGCCTGGGCCACCTGCTCTCACTAGATCACACCCCACGATAGCACCCCGGGCCTCTGCTCTTCCAGGGCCCCGGGAACCGGCGTTCCAACGGGGTGCTCTTCCTACAGAAGCTGGGAGAACCAGCCCAGGTCTAGAGACCTGCCGGTGGCCACACAACAGGTCCTCCTCATGGCCACCCACGCCTTTTCTCATTGCCAGCCCTGCATCCTTGCTTGAGCTGAGCCCCTCGCCTGTGCCTCTGGCCAGTGCCGTCCACCTGGGACAGACCTGGCATTGGGGGGGGGGTCTGCCCCAAGGGCTGCCGCTGCAACGCCCCACACACCGCAGGCATCCAAGGCACCTCCCTTGGCGTTTTACTGCGTCGAACCAGAGAACGGACGGGGACTCCGAATGGCCACCCTTCTTCCTAAGTCATTCCAGCAGCCGGCTTTCCGTGGCTTTTTCTGCCCCTGAGTTTGGGCCTTTCTATTCAAACTCGAAGGGGCTCGCCCCCCACCCCCATGAAAACTCACCTTTGCCCAGGAAGCCGGTCCCCCGTGCCTCCCCCGCCTCAGAGGGTCGTTACTCTTGGGCAGGGATGTGAATAGTCCATTTGTTCTGGAGAAATTAGAGGCGAGTAGAGAGGCAACAATGATGCAGAATCCCTTCATTTGGAGCAGACCCAGGCTGAGCATCAGCACCTTTGATTTAAAGGTAAGAAAAGCAATTAAAGGCACTTGGCAGAAAGTTCTTTCCAATCAATGAAGCCATTCAATCAGTCGGTAAAAAATGCCTAGCTTCTGAACGCATAATGTAATTCCAAGGGAGAAAAAGCCGGGTGTAGGGGGAGGAAAGATTGGCGTCCCCGAGAAGAAGAAAACTAGAACCGAATGACAGGTCACTCAGGAATCCCCACCATCTCCCTGGTCACCTGCCCCTCTCCTCTCCCAGTCAGTCCACGCCCCCGCAGACTCCAAACCCGCCGCTCGCTCCCCAGGCCCAGCACTGTACCCTTTCTGGGCATCTGACCAGGTCCCCAGCTTCACGGGGGGGGGGATGGAGGGGGGCTCTCTGTCATTCTAATGGCCAAGTGTCCTCACCAGAGCCAGACCTGAGCACTGGCGAGGGGGCTTTCTTCACCTTGAGGTTACAGCCATGGGGGGGGGGGGGGGGGGACACGGGGAAGGCAGTGGGAAGGGGCAGACAGAACGCCACCTCCAACGTCACAGTTTTACTGGGGGGCGAACAAGTCCAGCGTCCAGCAGAAGGGGCCTCGGGGAGAGTCAGACCCAGGGAAAACTGGGAATTCGCTCCCAGCGGAAGCCTGCCCTGGGGCCTGCACGTCTTCCCCAATGTCCCCGAGCGTCCGGCTGGGCTCAGGGCCTGCCGTCACCGCCCACCAGCCCCTCACCTTCCCAGGACCTTCCTCCGTCCCCAGCTCCAAGATCAGCGCTGTTTCCAACTGAGTTATGACCGTATCACGTCCCATCGCCAGGAGGGGCCAGGGGCCTCCTGGATGCCCCCGTCCCTGGGCCAGATGTGCTTTGGAATTCAGACACCACGCTCTCAGCAGATCACGCGGTACCTTCGCTCAAACCCCGCCCCAAATCCCAAAGGGGCCAGGACCCTCCTGCAATCAAACCCACTAATATTTGTGCAGGAAACACATGAATATTCAGAAGAAGTGGGGAAAATAATGATTATAAATAGCTGTGCCTCGGGGCAGGTTCTGCAGCCGAAGGACTTTCAGTTGGCAGAACTTCTTCCCAGTCAGGATCCCGGACCCGAGCCCCCCGCCTCTCCCAGAACAGAACACAGGAGGGGACAGGCCAGCCACCCGTGAAACCTGAGGCCTCGGCGCCACGTCTGACAGGATAAAAGACCAAGTGACAGGACTTACCGAAGAGACAGAAGGGACACCCCCTCCTCCTCCGAGGCGCCGTCCTCCTGGGAAGCCCCCGGCTGACCTGACAGACTCCGCGGCCTTCAGCTGTGAGGGGCCAGAGAGTAAACAGTTGCCAGCTTTTCGGGCCTGACGGCCTCATTTGCAACCACCAGCTCTGCCGAAAGCAGCCTTAGTTTGTAAATAAGGGGGATGTGCCTGGGCCCCAATAAAACTTTGTTTATAGTGACGGATGGGGGGCTGGCATTGCCCCCCACCCCGCCACATTTGCTGACTCCAGGACAAACCCACACAAACGTCCTCTTCAGTGACCGGGATTCATTCCGCAAACACAGGGCTCTGCCGTGGGCGGGGGGCCAGGGGGGCACTGTCCTCGGTGCCAGCATTTCAACAGGGACTGAAACACAGGCGTCTGCCCTCACTGGGCTTCTAGTCTAGACGGTTCCAGGCACTACAGGAGGGCCTTCAGGCCACCACTGCTCTGGGCTTTACTTTGTCTTAACAACGGTGGGCCTGGCCAGAGAGTTAACAGACGCCTCACCGAGGAAGGCGGGTAGACCGATGGCACATCGGCACAGAAAAGGTGCTGCAAAGCGTCCGCCCTCGGGGAACTGAAAGGACAACAGCAGCTGCTGGACATCCGAGCTCCGGGGCAGCGAGGACGCCCCGCACCGGTGAGGGCCGGGAGCACCGGGCGCGCGCGCTCTCTGGGCGCCCGAGTGCAGGTGGGGCCCGGCCCGGCCTCGGGAGGTGGTTTCACGGTTTCTTCCCAAATTCGGCCACCTGTTACCGTGTGACTGGCTATCAGGATCATCGAGATTTACCTGGAGAAGCTGCACTCGGGCGGTTATGCGTGGCCGTGTTCCCGACCGCCACGACGTGGAAGCTGCCCAGACGTCCCTCAGCAGGAGACGGATGAACACACCGGGCCCAGCAAAATGCGGGCGCGGTGATATTCGGCGCTGAAAAGAAAGGAGCTGCAAGTCACGAAAAGGCGTGGAGAAAACTCAGATGGGCAGTACTACGTGAAAGAAGCCAACCCGAAAACAGCACCTACCGTGTGGTTCTGACTGTGGGACATTCTGGAAAAGACAACTGGGGGGACAGGGACAAGGTCGGCGGGTCCTGGGGGGGGGGACAGGGGGACCAGAAGCAGCGGAAATGCTGTGCACTGTACTCCGGGGAGGGACGCGTGTCATTCACACGTTTGACCAAACCCACAGAGTGCGCAGCACCAAGCCATGGCCTTGGGGGGTTTTGTGGGCGCCAGTTCACCCTGGGCACCATCTGGCGAGGATGCAGAGGGCGGGGGACACACCGCAGATCTCTGCACCCCCTCTTGATCTTGTCATAACCTGAAACGACTCCTAAGCATCTGTCTTCAGAAAACGTTGCTGGTCCAAGCAGTTTACCCTCCTGCGTCCGAGTCCGTGTTTCTGACTCTGCCCGCACCCTCAGATGTACCTGAACCCCGGATCCACACTTGGGGGGGCTCCCCCATGGTGGGCCGGGGACCTGGGAGGGCAACAAGAACGTGGGCTCCCCAGGGCGCACACACCCAGGGAGGCAGAGCGGCCCCTGCACTCCTGTTCCCCTCCCCACTGGACACCGCGTCTTTCTTGCAGCCTCTTTCCTGCCCTGTTGCCATGAATCTGTGCTTCCTGCGGTTCAGTGTCCTGCAAGCGCGGTGCTGGCGGCATCTGGCCCTCGGGCCCAGGAGGGCTGCCGCGGGCACTGCACCCGCCGAGAGGGGCGGGGTGCTGCGGGCTGTCCCCTCGGTGTCAGGGGGGCCAAAACACGCACCAAGGGAGGAGTCTCTGCACAGAAACACAGGCAAGCGCGGTTATGTGTCAATCGGCTGATGAAGTGCGGTGACCGGAGGCGGCGCCGTGCCCTGCACTGCCCTGGGAGCAGAGGGCGCAGCCGCTTCACGGCCCCGGGCACGGCCGAGAGCAACTGCATTTGTTAGTGATCGTCAATCATCTTTTCATCCCCGACTCCGCCCATCGTTACAGCCCTTTCCGCAGCCGCCGCGCCCCTACCTGGGCCGTGTCTCTTCTCCATCAGTCCCCCCAGAAGTCCTCCTGTCCTTGCTTTGTTTGGGTTTTTTTCTGAAGAAACAACTTCTGGCTCTTTTCAAACTTCCATTAAGATTCCCCTCTGACCCATACATTCTTTAGCCGTGTGTTTTTAAATTCCCAACAAGGGAGCTTTTTGGGGTTTTTTTTCATTTGTCTTTCTGTATTAGCTTTGAACTTTACACAGTGGGTACCAGAGAACAGGGGCTGTACAAAAATGTGTCAGGTTAAGTTTTTTTAAGATTTTATTTATTGATTTTTAAAGAGAAGGGAAGGGAGACTTCCGCCAAGATGGAGGTTTAGGTGGATGTGCCGTGCCTCCTCACACAACCAAGTTTAGGGACAACTAAATATTAGCATCAGAAAACACAACCAGAACACGGAAAACTGAACTTTTCGGAAGTCCGCTAACAACAAATTCTTCAGCCCTACCGGTAAGGGGCGAAACCGGCGTCTGGTGAGGAGCTGCAAGGGAGGGCGCGGTCGGACCCGGGCGCGGAATCCAGACTCGCGAATCCAGACGCACGGGTTCCAAACCCAGGATTGGACCTAGTGAGCGACTGCAGAGGAGACAGTGGGGAGGCGGTGCAGCGAGTTGACTGCGGTTGCCTAATTGCGCGCGAGCGAGGGAGTGGGCGATAGAGGGCGCCGCCATTTCCCCGCTCTGACCACGCCCCCACATACAGCGTCACAACCCAGCGACCTGGGAGTCCAAGGCGCAGTTTCTCACATTTAAAGGGCCAGAACAGACCAAAAATGTCGCAGGGAGACCTCAAAGCCCCAGAGATAAATCTAAGCGACGAAGAAATAGCAAAACTCTCAGACGCACAGTTTAAAACACTGGTCATCAGCTTCCTCACAGATCTGGTTGATTATAGCCACATATTAGAGAAACATATGAAGGCTAAACTAATTGAAATGAATGGAATTGCACAGGAAAACAATAGCGATGAAAAGGAAACTGGGACTCAGATCAATGGAGTGGACCAGAAGAAAGCAAATAATGGCCAAACAGAAAAGAGTCAAGAAACAAGAATTCAAAACAACGAGGAGAGCCTTAGGAACCTCCAGGACATCTTTAAACGCTCCAATATCCGAATTATAGGGGTACCAGAAGGGGGAAAGACACAACCACCAGTGGAAAAACTATTTGAACAAATAATAAAAGAAAATTTCCCCAATCTGGCAAAGGAAATAGACTTCCAAGAAATCCAAGAAGCCCAGAGAGTACCAAAAAAGTTGGACTCAAGAAGAAACACACCAAGGCATATCATAATTACATTAGCCAAAATTAAAATGAAGGAGAGAATACTAGAAGCAGCAAGAGCTAAGGGGACAATCACCTACAAAGGAGTCCCCATCAGACTGTCAGCAGATTTCTCAAAAGAGACCTTACAGGCAAGAAGGGGCTGGAAAGAAGTATTCCAAGTCATGAAGTCTAAAGACCTACAACCAAGATTGCTCTATCCAGCAAAACTTTCATTTAGAATGGAAGGACAGATAAGGTGCTTCTCAGATAAGACCAAATTCAAGGAGTTCATCATCACCAAGCCCTTATTATATGAAATGTTAAAGGGACTTATCTAAGAAAAAGAAGTTAAAGAAACATGAACAGTGAAAGAACAATAAGCTCACAGTTATTAACAACCACACCTAAAACAAAAGCAAACTAAAAGAACAGCTAGATCAGGAGTGGAAATATAGAAATGAAGATCTCAAGGAGGGTTAGCAACAGGGGAGTGGGAGGAAGAGATGGGGGGAGAAGGTACAGAAAATAAGTAGCATAGACAGTAGATAGAAAATAGATGGGGGGGGGCAAGAATAGCATGGGAAATATAGAACCTAAAGGACTTGAGACACATGGACATAAACTAAAGGGGGGTAATGGTGGGGTTGGGGGGGCAGGGTGGAGGGGAATGAAGGGGGGAATAGAACAACTGTAACAGCATAATCAATTTAAAAAAATAAATTAATTTAAAAAAAAAAGAGAGAGAGAAGGGAAGGGAGGGAGGAATATCGATCCATTCCCTCACGTGCCCCCAGCTGGAGAATCCAGACCACATCCCAGGCATGCGCCCGAACAGGAATTGAACCGGCAACCTTTCGGTCCACAGGCCGGTGCTCGATCCACTTTCTTCGTTTGTTTTCTTCTGCATGTGTACAGGTGCCCCCACCACCATGGGCTAGAGCTTCCCGGGGAGGGCAGGGACTTCCGAACACCCCCGTTCCGTCCCCAGTGGGGTTACACAGACTCCAAGTTTTCAGAGCCAACTTATAACCTTGAAAAGAGTAGCCTTTGACCTTGAGAGGCTCAGATACATTTTTCCATGGAAACAGGCCACCTAATCAAAATACTGAAAGTTCTGGGGGAAAGATATTTAAAATTGAACCTTTGGAAGTCAGTTTACCCCAGTTTATCCAATGCTCTCTAGGATCTGACCCCAAGATTCTTTCCACTCATAGGAGCTTGGCTTTAGGTGATGAGGGGTCCGTGGCACACAGGACAGACGGGAATGTTAACTGCCTGACTCTTTTAAACAGAGAAATAGAAAATAAGCGAGTGACTCCTGATAGAAACTTAGTGGAACAAATCACACATAGTCACCCGAAGGAATCCTTTGCAGCCACTAAACTTACGTTGCGAATCCATAATTACTGACGTGGAACGCTGGCCATGCAATATTAAGTGAAAATGCAATAATACAATACTTATTTTTCTTTAGAAAACAACTATGTGTACAGAACCACGTGTGCCTTGGAAAAAAGGTCTGAAAAGTCATTCAACAAAATGGTAACAATCAGCCCTGGCTGGTGTGGCTGAGTGGACTGAGTGTTGAACCGCAAAGCAAAGGGTCGCCGGTTCAGTTCCCAGTCGGGGCACATGCCTGAGTTGCAGGCCTGGTCCCCAGTAGGGGGCGCAGGGGCAACCATGCAGTAATGTTTCTCTCCTACCTCTCTCTCCCTTCCCCTCTCTCTAAAAATACATAAAATCTTTTTATTTTTTTTAAGTTTTTTTAAAATTTAATTTATTTATCTTTAGAGGGGAAGGGAAGGAGAGAGGGAGAGAAACATCAATGTATGGTTGCCTTTTGTGCATCCCCTGCTGAGAACTGGCCCACAGGGAACCTGCCTGCAACCCCGGTATGTGCCCTGACTGGGATTCGAACCGCGATTGCCTGGTTCGCAGGCCCGCGCTCAATCCACTGAGCTACACCAGCCAGGGCGCCATAAAATCTTTTTAGAAAATTGTTAGCAATCGTTACTTAAATGATAGGATCACAAGCAATCTACTTTTGCTGCGTATTTTCTATTTGGCAAATTATTTGAAATAAAGTTATAATAACTTATAATGTTACTGAAGCGTCCATTGATGAGGTCCTTTCTGAAATTAAGTGAACGACCGATCTACTCAGCCCCTCAGGGTTCCTCTGAATGGGCAGCCCCCGAAGAGCAGGGAGCACCGTCCCTCCCATCCCTTCTTCCCTGCCCACAGCTCCGCGCACAGCGCAGCGGGCGCCAGGAGCCCCACCGTGGCTGCCGACTGAGTAGGTGTCTGGATGTCAAGGACCCAGGAGACACTAGTGGCAACAGCAAAGAAGAAAACTGCACTAGAACTTCCGTAACTGCCAACAGAAACCTTCGCGTCGATCCCTTGTATTATAAACGAGGCAGCCCGACTATTGCCCTTCCGTTTTGAAATCCTGCCAAAGTGCAGGTTACGATCCCAGCATCTGGCTGATGGGAGGGATCTAAAAGCTACCCAATGACATCATTATCCCGCAAATCATAACGAAGGAGCAGACAGGAATCTGGTGTTTGAAAAACACCCACACCCAACCTGCGGTTTCTGAGGTGGGCCCAGGGCCCGACCCGGCAGGTTTCAT